TTATTTTGATCGGCGCTTAATTCCTTATCAAAAATGATTATTTCAAAATCCTTAACGGTAAGCACTTTTGAAAATATTAGTTGGTTTTTACTCAAAGTTAATATTAAAAGAAATAAGGAACAATAATTTGTATGTTGAGTGACGTTTTGTTATAATTCAACTTGCACGTAGCGAGACTAGTCTTGGAAGTGAGGCTGCACTGACAGCGCACGTATTACTTGAACGTGAAAGTTCGTTAAATTTGATCTTGTATTAGTATTTTCTTACTATCATGCAACACGTGTATTAAACGTAACAACTTTCATGAAATCCTGAATTGAAGCCTGTCTATGAAGAAAATTACTAACTAAGTTGAAATATTGTCAAAAATGTAAATAAAACAAAGAACCATTTTCTGGCGTTGATAAAACGATCAACAAAATATGGTCGCAGTAACATTTTTGAAACAAAAATTGAGACATTTTTTTAATCATTATCATCATCACCAGCTCACTATCAAGTCCTCACCGAGGAGCTCGGAGCCTACCCTAAGTAAGGGGTGACTAGGCCATAGTCAACCACGCTGGCCCAGTGCGGGTTGGTTGACTTCACACATATATTTGAATTTCTTCGCCGATATGTGCAGGTTGCATCACGATGTTTTACTTCACCGTAAGAATTTCGGGTAAATTATGTACATATGAAAAATCGAAGAATCGAAAATCACATTGGTACATGGCGGGATTCGAACCCAAGACCTATAGATTACATAGTCAAGTGCTTAAACCACTGAGCCACCGACGCTCGATTTTTTTTAATGACGTAACTAAATTCTTTATTACCTTTCTGTACCAATATTTTATACACAATTATTAAATTTATACTTAGACAACGTGTTTAAAACAAGTTAACTTTTATTAAATTACGTGGCTTTACGAGCGAGCGAGCTGGTTATTTAGCAGTTAGGATTTGCATATGCATAGGTTATACGATAATATTCTCTTAGTTTAAAGTAATACTAAACTAATGTGAATCTTACTTATATAAAAAAAATATTTCCGGCGTTTTACGCATTCCACAAATACTTGCAACGGCAACGCTATTTTAGTAACAAAACGCTGTGGCTAAGCAGAAATTACCTATTCCTTTTTGAGAGATTTCAAGCACACTTTTTGCCTTTATTGCTTATTATAAAAAAAATATATATATGCCTGTATTTCATGATACAAATGTATTTCCATACTAGTAAGCCCGTACAATTAAAGTAGAATTTGGCAAACGATCATGCAGCTATTTCAACAGTTATTTGAGTAAATAAGTGAAGTAATACTGACCCGTAGACATCTACGAGTACTAAATGTATTGCATACGTTACCTATCGTTACTGTATAAAGGGAACGATCAGAAAGATAACCTTTGTTTATAATTCCGTATCAATGAAAGCAAATGAAACGATATTGTAAATTTTGAAATGCGTACAAACGCGTATGTCGCTTTGAGTCAATTCCATTATCTAGAGTGGTCGCGGGAGTTAATAACCGCACTCGAGCGATGCATATCTCACCATTCGTGCGGATATGCCACCGAATGATGTCATTTGATACCGCACTGATATTGCCACCGGGACGATAATCCTATAATCGGGTTTGTTAAGGTCGAACTTTTTATTCCACTTAATTTTTTATCATAGACAATGTGTTATCTTTTTAAATGTTACGAGTAAATTAAGTAATTCTAATAGATCGATAATATAGGTAGCTATTATCTTATATAACCGAGGGACTCTTTTGCTGAAACTCTCATATATAACCTTCTAAAACATTTAAAAAAAAATAGATCGATTGCGCTTTTGTTTATTTCTTACATTATTTTTCTGTCTAATAATCTTTCTAATATTGTTGTAATGAGCGATTGGTTTCCAATAGTCTCAACTCTCAAAGTATAAGGAAATTTTAAATTTAAGGAGATTAAAAAAGTAGCTTTTGTATTATATTAGTTACTATTGTATATTGTATCATAAGTGTAACAAAAGGTCACAAAGGAAAACAACTTAACACTACTATATGTGAAAGCCACAGCGCAAGCAAGCTTCTGTTCCAAACATTAAATCACGTAACTTCAGCAATAGCGGAGGTTAACCCTTCAACTACAAGCTACTATAAATTTTAAACGACATTCCGTCATAGCTTACTGCCAGCTTGGGAAATTCACTTTCCACATTCAAGGGTATGTATTGTTTAATATTGTTACCGTTTACTTTTCGCAAAATCACATTATTATTAATGTCAATGACTAAGTTATTATTTAATAGGTTTAATTTATCATGATCAGCTCAATATAAGTCCCCACTGAGTGAGTCTACACTAAGGTTGTGACTAGGTCATAGTCAACCACACTGGCCCAAGGAGGGTTGGTTGCTTCTTGACTTATCTTTGAATTTCTTCGCCGATATGTACAGGTTGCATCAGTTGATAGTAGTTGGTTGCATCAGGTTGGTTGTACAGGGTGCATTGTCCTTCACCGCAAGAACGTCGGGTAAATTATGTACATATGAAATTCGACACAACGAAAATCATATTGGTACATGCCGGGATTCGAACCTCTGTAGATTACAAGTCAAGTGCTTAAACCTTTGAACCTGAATGTGATGAAAAGTAATGTTTGCTTTAATCAACATATTTGTAGATTGTTGTTAGTTTATTAATATTTCTCATACTTAGGATAAACTTAATTAGAATTGTTTACGATATTAGTTCGATAATTGGAACCCTCGACCACTTGATCTAAAATCCGTACCTTTTAGGCAACCGGCGCTTCGCTTCTTTTATATATTTCATCTTCGTACAATATTCTCACAAAACATAAAACGCATAGCCCACATCTTGTTTTAAAAAGTTTAATTTAAATCGCACATATTGGTTAGTCTATTCAAAGCTCTAATTCACTTGGGATAAAGTCTGAATACGCGTATTTCTAACATTATAACTCCATTATTTTGTACTGCAAGTTAGTTTTAATAACTAATTGACTGCTCCTACGGACGTCACCCCTTACTCTGAGAATGAAATTAATCAAATTTCTCTTCAATCTCTTTATTGTAATAAACATAAATAAGTACTTACAATATCAACAATTATGTAACTAAACCTAACGTAAGAAAGTCTACAGTTAAAAGTTTTTTTTAACATATTCAGAAGTAAAAGAGACTTGCGTAGTTTAACAAACTTTTGTAGGGAGAAATACGTACTCGTACGTACAGACAAATTTGAACAAACCCAAGGGATACTTTTGTCAACATTGAAGAACTTTCGTCAAACGTTACAAATAAACATAATATAAGTGCTTGTTATTAGTATTTTAGGAATTTTTAATTATTTAATCTAGACAACTGAAAAATTCAAATAAAATACCATAGAAAAAATATATTAAAACCTCTTACAATATCAACTTGTTGACTATCATAGTTCGTTTATCGTATAAGGTAAAATTATTAAAAAAATATTATATTTGTATATTGTAAAATATATGTAAAATCAAAAATATTATTATAGCATTTGCATTGGTAATAGAGACGAAACATTAATGACAAATAAACTATTATTTGAGTTAAGTCTGTCTGTTTAGAGCGGGCGCACACCTTTGACTAAAGTATCGCACAAGTATTTTGCAATTGTCGATTGTTTCGTAGACAATTCAAATGTATAATTGCACAAGTAAAAATCGAGTAGTGTGCGCACCTCCATTTAAGCTTATAGGAATTAAAGCGAGACCAAACAGTCGTACGATAGTTTAGTTTCAAGTGGGCGCACGTTCTTAGTGTCGAGCACGAACAGTTCTGGAGATCAGGTTACGCTGGTTATAAAGTTCACCTGTCGATGGATCAGTTTCTCTGTATAAACTTTCAATGTAAACTTCCATTGAATAGAGTTTAACAGTTTCGGACAGTTTATTAGTTGGTTAGAACTTAGCTCGTTGGTTGTAGGTCATATCACATACGAAAATTATTCTTGACTACTTTTGCCCGCGACGCCTTCCACGCGAAATTAAAAAAAAAACTTGTTGATTATTATTTTTTTGAACACAATGTTCTACTTCTATAATAGAAATTTAAATAAACATTCTGATTAACATCCTTCGATCTAGAGTTTTGCATTTATATGACTTACGTGTTTAAAAAAGAATAACGATTTTTGTACAGTCATTGAATAGAATTTCACGAGCAATATTAGGAATTCTTGGGGAGATTTGGGGTAATTTCAATTAAATCACAGACACGATGGACAGGGTCGATGAAAATTGGAAAAGTTGATTAATGAATACCCACCGTAGCTGTCACAGATTGGCCCAAATTCACGGACACGACGAAAGAGACAGATGTCGAGGATCGGGAGGAAACGCACTTTAAATTGTACAGGGTGTTACAAATTAAAAATTCCCAGTAAATACTTAAATCTAGATTAGTTTTGACAGGCGTTTCTTGTGCCTGGATGGAAATAATTTTCAGGTATAGCTTTCAGAAAAAAAAAGCATTTTGGATAGCTTCCAATATGACCCACTTAGTGGTTTCCACATTTTTACGGACCGTTTAAGTTGTCTGAAGTTGTAAATATATTTAAGTTGTTTTAGGAAGTAAAATAATAGCACGTGAAGTAAATTTATTTATCAAAAGTGTACATAATTTTACCACACAATTTATATAAACTAATATATCTTTAATACGCGTGCACAATATAATTAAACTAAAAGTTTCTCGTGTCTATTTGCGTGCATCTTCTTTCTTATACTTGATAAAGACTTTCACTATGGGCCTGTCCCACAATTCTTGTAAATTATCAGATAACAATCCAACGTTTGAAATATGTGATGGAAGTATCGAATTATGGTACTCTATCTGACAGTAACGTCACTTTTAAACTATCTGAGCCTCTATCAGCCAGTGGTGGGACAGGCCCTAAATCTTTTAAAAACCCAATTCTCTGTCTGAACTAACTAGAATCAAACTCTTCTTATATAGTCACGTTAGTCGTTACGTATTACGAAGTTGGTATTTGGAGATCTTTTGGTAAAGAAATCTTGAATTGTAGAAGAACGATCAGGTAGATAGCAATCATGCTCACTGCCTGTAAACAAACACAACAAATAAAAAAGTTAAGCAAATAATTACATGAACTATTTCAATCAATTAAGAATACAACGAAACTAGAACGAATACAGATTTTTTGATTTACCCATACAATACAATTCATCCAATAGACACAGTAATTAAATAAAAAAAATCTTACACATTTATTGAACTTAACACTATGCGTAGAACCTGTTAAAGTCTACTACAATTTAATTTAATATCGAATAGCACGTTATCACTTAAAATAATTTCATTTTATATGATGACAAGTTGCCACCCGCCGCGACGCGGCCACTGTCTCAGCAATTGGAAATTTAATATCCATCTTTCGAACTTGGATTGTATTACTGCGCCATGATGAGGCTACTGTTACAAGATATCAATGGCTTTAATATTTCGCGTTTATTTCGCCTCAGTTTACTAACAACGATAATCTTAAAGTTACAAACTTTGGTAATTTACAAAAGATCCCTTCATGTAAAATGATATACACAAAATCAGTATTTTAGAGGCGCACACCTTTGACTATTCTATCGCACGACTGTTGTGCGATTGTCGATTGTTTCGCAGCCAATTCAACTATTTAGTTGCACAACTAAAAATCGATAAGTGTGCCCCTTATAAGCTTATAGGAAGCGCAACAAACTGTTGTTCGACAGTGTAGTCAAAGTTGTGCTTGCACTGTTATACTTACAGAAGTTAACAGTTCCCTGTTAACATGAGCGTAGCCCTTCAGACTTACTACAGCTGGATTCATTTCAATGGCCTGAATGAAGTGATCAATCTAGAAAGAAAGTTATAAGACAAGTATTCATTTAGAGATGGAATGAAAAAATATTATGAATACACAACTTTAATTTGTTTATTTACTATATGTTAAGTTACTAACCTCTTTTTGGGTCGGCCTATCTACTGACAGTACGTCGATAGACATCAAAGTTTCAACCACACCAGCAGCTACCTGCAATAAACATATAAATAAGTTTGGTAAGTTTTACTGAAAAAAAACTTAATGTCTTTACTACTCGTATCTTCATCTACGAAAACCTTTTTATAAACATCTTAATCGAAGTTTACTAACTTAAATGATGGATGGACTTAACATTATAGTTGAGTTAAGTTATGCTAACTATACGTAATACACAAACTAACTTAAATAATATAAATTCAACTCGAATTTCTATGTCCAAAACAAGTCACAAGCAAATAGTTCAGAACTGCTCAAAGACCTGAAGACTTTGTGAAGTATGAACTATGTACAGTCTTCAAACATATAACTACCTACATATTTACGGTAAGATCCTGGCAAACTATTTTCAAATTTAACATTTTTTTTTTAACACGATAAAAATAATAAATGATAATTGTAATGTACAATCTTTTATTCAACACTACTTAAGTCTACATATACTAACCTAAGAAGGAAATCGGTACAGTACCGGAGCAGTAGCACGACACTAGATCATTGGCATATATGTATGTACGTCCCGTCCCTATGACATCTATCAATGTCAATCGGAAGCACGCCATTCTTGGCGGGAATCGATAAACTGAGTATCGATGTGTTCAGGTATTTAGTGAACTTACTTATAAAAAAATAATCTAAACTAACCTTGAGAGTGGATTTGTGCGAGCAATCAGCGAAGATGAATAGCAAAGCGGAGCAGTAGACAGCGTCAACGAACAGACCGACTTCTTTAAAACTGAACCCGAAGCCGTGATCTACGATCTCAGATAGCGCACCGTATATTGCTATTGTTATGTTGAAGAACCTGGATATAGGAGCGAAGAACATGGGCAAAAGAATATGGGGGGGTGACCATTGGTAGATAAGTATGGAATATTTTATTGATAAAAAATGCAAAATTAGAATTTTGAGGAATTTGTTTCAAGTAAAATAGATTAAAAGCTGTTTTTAAATTGTGTCTTCAATCATATTTAGAACCCGCGCACACGTTTGATTAAACTATCGCAAAACTGTTTAGTCGCGCTTTGAATCATATGAGCTTATATGGAGGTGCGCACACTACTCAATTTTTAGCTAAACAGTTGTGTGGACTGCGAAAATCGATAATGGCACAACGGTGTTCGATAGTTTAGTCAAAGGTGTACTTCCGCTCTTATATTTCTTTTGATTTAATTCATTGAAGAATAGGGATAAAATTTATTCTTACATGAAGAGGCAGTACGTGGAATATGTTCTCGCGTAAGCATTCCCCAGCGACTGGAGGAGCTCTGACAGATTCAGCCACAAGTAACGGTAGCGAGATATCAGCTTTGCAGAGCACTCTATGCCCACGTCCTATGTATAGAGAAATATGTTCTAATGTCCGATACAGAAAACAATATTCTATTAACATTTAGTTTTAAGTAGCTTTCGACCGCGACTCCGTCCGTCGAATTAAAAAAACAAATGTAAGGAACATATATGTTCTCCTAGACTATCCTCTACATCTATGCTAAATTTCATAGAGATCTGTTCAACCATTTAGGCTATAAACTCTTTCAAACATCCATCAATTTAAACTTTTGCATTTACAGTAATAGTAAGAAGTAATGTTAATGACGTGTATGGCGACATCGGGGAAGACGAGGTGCAAGGGCGCGCGGGGGAGCGGACACCAATTGGCATCGATGCGCTCGCGATGTCATTCAGCAGTAAGATAATAAGATCCGTTATTTAATAAAAGCTATCCCTCTTTGTTTTATTCATGTTTTTCGATTTCCTACGTGCAAGATGACAGATGTAACTATAAAGCTTTTAAATGAAGACTTCAATGCAGTTTACACCATTAGTGTATACGAACACGTGCTCTTTAATTAATTTTAACATAAATTGAGTACTACTGCAAAAACTTGCTAAATATAATGCAATGTTATACAACATATAACATTAACAACATAACGCTCTTGTAGGTATACTTAAAATGGCAACGTCTCGTTTAGGTAAAATCAAGAAGTAGTGATACGGTGTTGATTCTAAGAGTAACTTTACCACACAATGATCTTATTTTTGATATTTATACGTAACAGAAGTCCTTGCCGTAAATATAATTACAGTATACTTACGTATAGTACTTATTACAGGTACTTACTCTTCGGAAGCATTCAGAGAGGCTCTGCGAAGCTATCTTGATCCCTTTGCAATTAATGTACCAGAGAGCGCAGTTCATGTTAATCATCGTTATAATATGGAGGTACGCTATCGTGTGTCTCAAGAGGAACCCGTCCAGCAGAGCATATAGACTGAGTAAGAAGCAAACAGCCAATAACAAACAGCCCACACTGATGATCATGATCGACAACTTCAAGTTAGGAAATTTAAGATTCTCTCCAGTCACTTTGTAATATCTTACCTAAGAAGACAGACATATGGACAAGATGTGAAAAACTAGAATAGTAGATAAGTCCTAAGGGGCCTGTCCCACAATTCTTGTAAATTTTCAGATAACAATTCAAAGTATAAAATATGTAATGGAAATATCGGATTGCTCAATCTGACAGTGACGTCACTTTTAAGTTATCTGAGCCTCTATCAGACAGTGGTGTGACAGGTCCTAAAAGTCTTATTGTAATAGATTATGTTGTTAATTTGAATTTGATTCCACATGATAATCCAAATCTGAATAGTAGAATGTCTATGGCTAGCTTACGGTAGTATTTTAAATTTCTATGCACACAAGTATTTAATAATTACCTGGAACTTTCCCCAATTTGTTTTATAAATGGCAACCTGATGAGCGACTCCCCAACCGACGAATGGAATCCAGAAATGAGGAACGAGGAACACGACGAAAAGAATCGCGTAAATGTAGTCGTCGAATTTTCGAATAGATCGCAATATCATAATACGTTCGTAGCCAACATTTAAAACTATAACGGTGGTCAGAATATAGAAACATATTGCGTAAATAGTAGCCGATGATGTCCAGCTAAATGTGATCGTACCTTGAAATAAATATGTTTTATCCTTTATTTTCAGAGCCTTCAGAGCATTCGATACAATCACAAACTACCAGGAAATAAATTTGAGATTACAGGTGGTACATAAAATATTGGAAACAGTTCAACTGTGTAAGAACATTAACCTGGTCTAGAGCGAGTGATGGGCATCACGGCAAGCGCTCTAAAAAGCACTAGCAGCAATTTATGGTCACGATAGAACTGGTCGTGTATCTCGCATGTGTCGCCATCTTGTGACGACAGCAGATCACGTTGTTCTTGTTCCTGTACAAAAGTTCCAACTTAAGATTGTCATCACCTTATCCTACTCCCGTACGATCGGTCGCACCGGGGTTTTGTCCTCCAAATAACTCTATCATCCGTTATCTCAGTCATCACTCCCTTCTTTATCATGTCTCCTTTAACGCAATCCGTCCATCTCTTTCTAGGTCCACCTCTACCGGTATACCTCCACACTCATAACTTAAGCTTGTATGGAAGAAAAACAGTGTTAAAGATTTAACAACAATGTGTAGTTAAGGAGGTAGGCCTAAAAGAGATGGATGGATTGCTTGAAAGGTGACATGATCAAAAAGGGAGTGATGACTGAGATGACGGATGATAGAGTTATTTGGAGGACGAAAACTCGGTGCGCGGACTCAATGGGAGTAGGATAAGACAGGGGAGATGATGATGATGAGTAGTTAAGAAGTAAGAACGATCGATCGTTGGGTAGCTTTTTAATTTCTCGAAAATAATAATTAAACTTATGTTCATTGAGCCTTTATGGATCGGAAATTGGAGTGAACTTTGGGAATTTGAAATTGCATATCGAAGTGAAATTTTGTCAGAAGTTCAACCCTGTTTTCGGCATAGTGCTCAATACGTCAATATTTTGAATTCACAGAGAGCTCTTAGTATCACTTAAAAGTAACATTAGTGCGCTTTGTGAAGTCAAACTACATTAGTACATGCTTTTACTCACATAGTCTTTTTGCGTTCGATCGTATACTGTTTTATTCTGTTGCAAATGCTGCATATCTTTGTGCAACAGAGAATTATTGATTCCTTCATCGAATAAATGATCCGGAATCATCTTACTTCAATGTAACTATGATAGTGCTCAAAAATCAATTAGGGATCTAGCGATATGGTTGTGAAATGAAAATATAACAGACTGTGTTCAATAGCGAGGTGGTCATGAAATATTCATCTTAATACTCCATCAAGTATCAAACAAACACGATGTGTAAACTTCATTAAATTACTAAGTAAACGAAGCCGACCCTTTCTGAATATAAATTAACTACCTTTAATTTGCAATGATAAATTAACAACCGCACATAAAAGTGCTATTGGTACTATTAACCACTATTATTAAAAAAAAATGTTATTATACTTGTAAAGTAGTTGTACGATAAGAAAAAAAAAAGTTGACAAATAAAATTAGCAAAGTAACTTGTATTTGTAACGTTCACGTTTACAGTATCGTCACATCACGATACTACTCGTCATTTCAGGGCATTTCAGATGTAATCACGTCATGTCAATTGATGTGACGCACACATCAACATCAGCTCACTATACGTCACCCCTAAGAAGCTCGGCACCTACCCAAGGTAAGGGATAACTAGGCTTTAGTCGACCACGCACTCCTTCAAATCCTTAAATTTCTTTTAAAATATATGCAGGTTCCATCACGTTTTCCTTCACTATAAGAACGCCAGATGTACAATGAAATTCTTAACTTGGAATAAACGAAATAGTTTTTTTTTAATTCATCGAAGTCGCGGTCAATAAATCGGCAAATACAATTACACAAATAAAAAAGTAGATACTTAAAAGGAATTCTCAAAATCGGTTTAGGATTATTGAAGTGTTTTTATAGCATTATTCGCTTCAGTATAAGAAAAGGAAATACATTATGAAAAGAGGGACTTTTACTAACTTTTAAGTTATTGAAGAAAAACAAATGTGGCTTAAAGGAATTTCTTTATTTCTGATATATAATACAAAAATATCACAGTAATTAGTTTCACATTATATGTACAAATGAAAGAAATGCTTACAAATAAAAACTATATATTTCATTGAAATTAAACTTCCATATCTATTAACAGTATTAAAATATACTTTGGACGTATTTTCGTTAAGTAAATTCAATAGAAATTAATTAATTTTAATATAAAAATAAAATATAAAATAGTTATAAGTAGTGCGATAAGTCATGAGAATTATTACAAAAAAATTACATTTTTTTTAATCAACAATATTATTCCAGTAATATATTATTCGGAAAAATCTAAACTTAGCATCATTAAGGCCGAATACTAAAACGAATTTTAAACACTTCGCTTCGTAAGGGCTCCATCCGATCTCAGAATTTTCAAAAGTTTAATGGAATTTAGATTTTAGGTTGTTCCAGTGTTCGGCTTTTACACTCAATAATCAAGTAACAAAGAAACATTATCATGCATATGGACGTAAAATATTTTACAACAGACTTATTTCACAGGAAACCTTTAAATATGAAAATCTTGAATAATAAATATCCGAAACGATTATCTGAATTCTATGATTTAGAATGTCTAGAGGAAACGCCCCTTAATACAAATACTACATCTAAGAAACAATAACAATCTGTTAAATAACTTATGATTTAAGTTTAGCTAGTTGTGCCATTAACTCCTTGTCGGCATCCGTTGCTGAATCACCAATTTTGTTGCGAGCCACCGAAGGAGCGTTGGCCATCTAAAAAAATAAACAATATTCAAAACTATATAATATTTTGCAAGTAAATAACATTTTAGGGAAACTCTTAAGATGTTTTAATCATAACAACCTAGATCACAAATAAATAGCAATACAAAATCTTAATCTTAAACATCATATTTGTTGTATTGATTATGGATAGTGTATTGACTTCTATCATAAATGTGGGGCTATAGCCCTGCATTATTATAAAATAATGATTCAAAAATATAACATTGCTGACATCTTACATAACTAAGCAGTGTATTTACGCTTTATTATTTTAATGTAGAAGGATAGTTTTTTTTTTAATATTCAAGTTGCAACAATGTTTTACAAATTGTATGGCCTAGTCACCCTTAGGGTAGGCTCTGAGCCACTCGGTGGGGACGTATAGAGAGCTGGTGATGATGATGATGATGAAGAACATTTTACCAAAATCTTTTATAACTACTCTACTCAACTTTAGTCAAGAAAATGTTTTAAATCAATAATTTGCATAGGATATGATAAAAACATTACCTTTCCACTGATTTCGATTCCAATCTCGTCAAGTACTTGGTTGACAATGCCTTCACTTTCTTGCTCATCGCCTGATTCATCCATTATGTCATCTAGGGTTTCTGAAACTATAACAAAAAACTTTATTTTTATACTTTTATATACATATTAATAATAAACAATGTCTTGTGGAAATAGTAGTTAACAATATTTTTTTTAATTCATGCAAATATTAGAAAATGAAGGATCCTAGTGAATTTACTTTGTAAATTAAATATGTATATGTGAACTATCATAAGCCATAAATTAACTTGATAACAGAAAACTTACTCATTTCATCTGTCATATCCATTTTAGCGTTAGCCTGTTTGAAAGCTTCCATGTCTCTGGCTATTTGGTGCGGGTTCAGAACTTTGTTAATGTTGCCCATTGTCTTAGCTGTGGTGCCCATCGCACCTGCTATTGCAATGTTAGCCCCCATCGCCTTATTATGTATCTGAACACTTGATATCTGGCAATAAAAACACATTTAGAAAGTCAGAAAAATAAAACATAGGGCTGGCACATCTGCGAGTTTGTATAGTGGCATTTATATTACAAGGTTAATTACAATTAAAGTGATACAAGTTACATGTTGTTTTGTATTGTCTTTTTTTTTTTTTGATTCTTTAATCAAGAGTAACTTTTTTATTACTATACATTGGGTTTTTTAATCTATTAAGAAGTTCAGTGTTAACAAATTGGTATAAGTCATTATTTTATATCACCAGTGTTTGTATGTTATGAAAAGTTGACAACCCTGGTATTTTATGTGAAATGAGTAATATTTTAATATTACCTTGCTATTAGCTGCATAGATTCTGGTCTTCTGCTTCCTCAGTTGAACTAATTGTTTTGCTAATATTTTGCACCCATCATTATTGCCCTCTTTTGCCATTTTCTTTATTTCCATTTCCTGGAACACACAGAACATATGTAGAATATAAGAAAAAGAGTAAAGCAATTATTACAATGACTTGTCATTCAAGGCATATAATTATTACAATAATTTAAATTTTATGGTAAAAAAATTTAAAATCCAAATCAAGAAATTTAAAGGGAATTTAAATCAAACTCAATATCAGTCGATGCAAAGTATCGTATGAATGCAAGAATCCTTACCAATTTCTTTTCCTCTCTCTCCAGAGCAACTTTGTCCCTGTCCAAATCTCTTCCAGCTTTTCGAAGTTCTCGATCATTTTGTCTTTGTATTTCTATAATTTAAAAAGTATATTAAGAGATGAATCATATTTGTATACTGTTATGATAATTTGATGCCAAATAGTGAAATTGTAAACCTTTAACAGTCGGAGCCTTTTTGAAGAAGTTCATAGTTGCGTTATGGTTTTCAGATGAAACTTACTATGAAAAGGAACGATCAGAAAATATTTAGTATTTGTAACGTTTGTACAGCAAGATATAAACAAAATTTATTGTAAGTACTAAGTAGTAGAATAAGAAACTTTATGTGAATGACAATGACAATAAGAATCAGATGGCAGATGACATATGATACGATGTTGCCAGGTGCAACTTTGTGTTTTCCTTTTTATATTCACTAAGCTGATAAAAAAAACATAACTTCATCAGGAAAACCAAAAAATCTCTCTATTTTTAAAGATTTCTCACAAAATATGTCTAATTTTTAATTGTACTTAACTTGCCCTTGTATTATCACCCACTCAATCGTCTAGTAATTTAACAACTCATTTAATATATTAACATCCTGATAACTCCTATATATCTTTAACAGCGGTAGAGCCCGCATCGTCAGGTGTACAAATACACCGGCTCGACTGGTGAAGTGGTGGTGAATTAGTTCCGCCATTTGTACTCAAAAGAGTATGCCTTGCCGAAGACCTTCTTTCCATTACTATCCTTTTATTATAAGGATCGATGGACTTTTACTATATGAAGGAATAGGGAAGAAGAGGACGTTTAGCAAGGAGAAATATATTCTTTACATGCCCACCTCCATTGAAACGATGTCTGTGAGTATTGGGTGTTTTATTTTTCAGCCAATTCAAGTGGCCGCTTGTTCGTTTGGCATCTTTTTAACACTTTAGGTAAGAGTACGTATTTACGACACGTAAGAAATGAAAGACAGGTGTTTTTATAATTAATTTATTTCGAGAGCAAAATCGATATGCCTCCTTTATTTTAAGTCACTTCATTCTTATTATATTTCATTTCAGTTATAAATAAAGTTGTAAAAAATATTTAATGCATACGACAAAACAACAGTAAATATAGACACTTTGTGACGAATAAATAAAATGTATAGAACATAAACTCACGATTTAATTTTAAGACGATGGATGGAAGTATATAAAAATTATCAACACATAATTTTTGCCTATAGAGTTATAAAAAAATACAAAACCTATCGTAGGTTGAATTTAAGTAGAGATTTGGAATTAGAGAGATTATTAAATAAACGTAAGGCTGAATGCAGTTCATATAAATCGTTGATAAGGCCAATTATTTACTGGGATTTCTTTAGATCGTAATCAGGCCATAATGCTTCCAACTTCCAACAACATGTGTTAAAAAAATTAGAAATAGAACATTAAAATTGATTTTTAGGTACAGTTAACAAAAATTAAGTACAGTTGGTAAGTACATGTCTTATTTTGAGTGTTTGCGATTTTGAGATTCACCAGGACCATTGTGGTTTGAAAGGGCCAAAAGCCCATTTGTCGGGTAAACCCTCGTGTGTGATATCATTAAACGAACTATCCGACCATTGGAAGGGTTGTAAAGTGTCTTTGTTAAGCATTTCTAATTCCTCTTCGGCTTTTTGTTTAACGAGATCTCGTATTTGTAGACCGTTTATTGTTGGTTCATCGTCAAACGCATCAGTATATATGGAGGCGAGGTTTCCTTTGTTAAGTTTCATCTCAGTTTGATTCAGTTTTTGTGGCTCCGTGAATGGAGGACTTGATATCGCGACAAGATCTAAGCTATCGCCGTCTGTTGTACCTGTAAAATTGGATTGATGATTACTATTTTATAGAAAATAATTATTTGTTATCATTAATTTTATTGCTTCATTAGTTAAATAATGTTTGACACTCTGACACTAAAGGCTCAAGACTTAGGGCCTGTCCCACCAAATAGTAAATTGTCTGATAACAATTCAATGTGTAAAAATGTGATGGAAATATCGGATTTTATTACCCTATCTGACAGTTAAGTCATTTTTAAGCTATATGACCCTCTATCAGCCAGTGGTGGGACAGGCCCTTAATTTTTTAATAATTACTTTTTGAATAACTAACAACTATAGAAAACAGTATCTTACCACTAACGACTTTCGTATCAATAACTCCGTACGCTTCTTGATGTCGTTTAACAATATCTCCTCGAACTCCGAGCGCGGACCATAAACCGGCTTCCTCTAGTATGCAGTTTCGTTCTTCGGAACATTCTGGAAGCTTGGTTTCATTGTCGTTGAGCGCGGTGACGTTGTTCATGCGCATTAGTTGTATGATGCTGTCTAGTGTCGTGGCGTTCTTGTAGCCCTGCTTGAAAGTCACTGCACGCGGAGATTCCGATTCTGAGAACATTTTCCCGTACATAGCTTCCATTTTCGTCACGTGTGTTAATTCTGCTACGTCCTGTAACGAATGGTTATATCATATAAAGTTTAATTATTAACTCGTATGCAATGTCGGTTTATGATTTCCCAGCTACATTTATCCAGTCATTATTACTGGTTCGATAACTTCATTAACGAGTTTCTGAACTACGTAACAAAAGTTTTACTACGTCAAAATTTACGTCAAAATAATATTATGAATCGCTAGGTAATGATAAAATAATTGGAAACTTCATCAATCCAGCATTAGCGCACAAAGTCTGTCGTACGTAAGCAACGGAGTATGTTTAATGAGTGAAATAGAGCGAATAGTACATTTACACAATTAATATGATTGTAACAACGTAATTAACTTAAACACTCATGCCACAGCCTCTCGCCAAATGGCGCGATATTCCAAAGCGTCTGAATGACATTGACAGCTGTCATATAGGGACGTGAGTCTATACCGATGTTCTAGTGTTGCCCAATCTTTTTAACAGTATGGCGTTAACATGATATACCTTAAAGAAAGGCAGTCCGTATGTGGCCCAGTAGTGGTTGTCGAGCAACGCAGCGGTGAGGTCTGCGGACTGCGTGCGGCCCGGCGCCTGCTCCAGCAGCCAGGCGGCGCCGCGCCCGCCGCGACCCTCGCGCCCCCCGCGCCCTCCCCAGCGGTGGATAATAGTGTGCTTTACATCCCTATAAAACAAACGTAACGTTCAATGATCGTTTAGAACACGACATCTATCAATTTATACTAACAAAAAGCGTAAACACACTTCTTAGAGCCTGTCCCACCACTTGCTGATTCTTACTTTACTTCTTACTTCACAGATAGCTTAAAAATGACGTCACTGTCAGATGGGGGAACTAAATTCGATATTTCAATCATATATTTTACACGTTTGATTGTTATCAGACCATTTACAATTTGGTGGGATAGGCCCTTGGCTATGTAAAATGTCAGCAATCCCAGTATATTGGTGAATAATAATTATTTTTTAATATTAAGAAAGCCCTTCACTTTATTACGCACTTTATGCGCTATTTTCACACTATTAAACTTAGGTGGTAAACAAATTGAAACAATCCTTTATGCGGGAAAGGGACAAAAACTTCTAGCCATGCAGCAAAGAAGCATTGTCGTGGCAACGTTAATTGTTGGCCAAAGAACTTTGGAATAGAAAGTTTTACAAATGTAATCAAGACAATAAAGTTTTTTTATAATTTTATGCGGTTGAAGTTGCACGAGAACAGCTAGTATACAACGTACTATCTGTACAAAGAGACGTCACACACTATACTTATATTACGTCATATGTATTTGTACAGGAAGTATTTATCATAGTGTACGCAGAAAACTATTGATTCTAATTGTGATTTATATAATTCGAAGTGAGGCGAGTTAATTGAATGACGTTGAGGAAAACAGTTCTCACGTCATCTCTCAATTGAACTGTTTTAATATACTGGTATTTGTATTTATTGCAATGCGTTTTTGAGCTGATTAAATGCATTATTACGAGTATTACTAGCTATCGCCCGCGACTCCGTCCGCGTGGTAATAAAAATACAAATGCGAATAGCCTATGTGTTCTTCCAGTGTTTCCTCTGTATCTATACCAAATTTCGTGGAAATCCGTTCAGCGGTTTAGGCTACAAACTCGGACAATAACCATCCATCCATCTAAACCTTCGCATTTATGTATTGTATTATTACTCACTTTTGTACTTACTTGTTAACAGTGATCTCGGTGACGATCTCCGTCTTGTCCTTGAGCTTCCCCTGGTGGCGGTGGAAGTGCGCGAAGTCAACGACCAGCCACTGGCGGGTGGCGGTGCCGGAGTTGTGCGCGGCGAGCGTGCGGCCCCACGCGCTCACGTTCGCCGACAACTTGTTGGCGGCCGACACACGGGGGCCAACCGGCAACTGGAATGGAACCTTCTATAAAGACATTGCTACTTTCAAATTAATAAATGGAACACCATTTTTTTTATTTTAATTAACCTTCCTGTACCCGTTACCCGTAGACACAGCTATTTAGTCTTAGTTTGATTCCCTATAGCTTATAGGAGGTGCGCACACTACTCGATTTTAAGTTGTGTAACTAAACAGTTCAAATAAACTAAACGCTGCATAAAATCGACAATCGCACAACAGTTGTGCGGTTATTTTGTCAAATGTGCACGCGCTCTAAAAGTTATTAAAATATATTAACGTGAAAATTACAGTTACATAAGTGATGAGTCTTTTAATGCTATCCTATATGCCGTTCCTAATTAAATAGAGAACGACAGAAGAATCAAGTTACAAAAAACTAAACAAAATCTACACTATTAATTACATATTTTTTTAATAAAAGTTCTACAGAAACTCGTCATACCTGTTCTGTGATGTTAATGCTCTTCCACAGCTTCTTATTGTAATTCCTAAGCGTGGTTCCCGCGACCGCCATCCTGTGGTTGTCTCCCCTGATGACGTAGAACTCATCCTGACTGGTCACAGAGCCCGGGTACCCGGAGAATTCCACCGACAGTCCGGGGACTGCGGCGTCGTCAGATGATGTCTTGTGATAGTTCAACTTGTACTTCTTTAAAATACGCGTCATTGATGAATAACTGAAATAGAAGTACAGATAATTTAGTTTGTATGTGAGTGAATGTTACGAACTATCTTATAAAGGTGTAACAAAAGTACTGTTATTGTATTTAGTGTAACTTAAAATACTAATAAAAATAAAGGAAAATACAAAATAAATATGTACATATATAAAAGGAACTCATTAATGTAGCTAGCACAAGGAATACGCAACAAAAAAAAGAAAGATATACGACTAAACTGTGCAAAAAAGAATACAGACCAAGAGTCTGTAGATGTTGATTTCAAATAAAAAAATAGGCTATGTTAGAGTTATAACACGTACATATTATTATCCTAAAAGTAGAGACAAAGTTATTTTTGTACTATTTTCATTGTTAAACTACGTTTTATAAGTTCAGAATATATGTTAAGATAATATTGGACACAAGGCAATGGACATGCGATGGTTGTTTATGATCTTTGCGCGATACGAGATAAAATAACTGATATCTTTGTTGACAAACAAACAATCCAATGCGGCCATTGTTATCAGTGGAAACTGCCGGTTTACACAAGTTACATAAATATTGTACAAGTAAACAAATTATAACACGGTAGGTATCGCTAAACATTTTCCAATAATGAAAAAAGATGGGAATCTTACTAATATTATAAAGGCGAAAGTTTAGATGGACGGAAGAATGGATGTTTGTTAGAGTTTGTAACATAAACTGCAGAACCAATCTCGATGAAATTTGACATAGATGTAGAGGATAGTCTGGAAAAACACATGGCAACTTACTTTTTTTTTTTAATTCCACACGGTTAGAGTAGCAGGCGCAAGAAGTATTTTTATAATGTAGGTAACAACCGTAGAAAGTGGTCATTACATACTAAATTTGTATATATAACTACATTTATTTACTACACTATTACATTATCATTACACACTCAAATTATTTTACTAATCTTAGTTTTCTTAATTAACAATTTGAAACTTACCTCCCTGCTGTATTATGCGCGAGGTAAATTCTCTTTGTAATTGTTCCATTCTCTAATGTTTCGTTGACTACCCTTAGGAATGCACTAGAGAGTCCTGGCAGTTGGTTCGCTGGATTGTCTATGGTAACATTCATCTTGCGCTGCAGCTCAACCACATCAGCCATAGAGTTCAGCCAATAGAGTTCCGATATATCCGTGTCAGATTTCGTGTTGGCATTACGTTCGCTGCCGTGTTTCCAGCCAGTGTACATGCCACTTATTTGTGTGTAATATAATGAAACCTGCGGGTACGTGCTTATTAGTATTTAAAACATTAATGCGCTGTTCACACTTGGCTAGTACAGTTGGACAGTAGTGACGGCCAGTCACAGATTGTATCTACTGGCGCCAGTTAAAGTTGACACTGTCCCAGTGTACCAGTCCAATTATTCACCGCTACTAACCAACTGTACTGGCCAAGTGTATAATAGCCTGTTAGTTTTCTGCTCGAGAATTTCAGTTTACGGAATCGAATTCAATTCGATTTAAAAATTATGAATACAATGTTTACAGATTATAAGAATATGTTTTGTCCACATATAGGTATAGATACAGAAACAGTAATCTAGATTTCTAGATGGCACTAAATAACACAATGTGCAGATAGAGGTATACAAAGATTTGAATTGCCGCTTCAATATTTGTTCATATGTGACTAACCATTCCAGTGCAACTAATAACAAGTATTTTTAGACTTTACATATTGCTCATAGGAAGCGGAAGTCGCTTTCTAAGTCTACACATGTCATGTGCTTATTTAAATTAATGCAATAGTTATTCTACAAATAATTTATGCATTAGTTATAATGATCTGGACATTTTAAAATAATAAATAACAAATTAAAACGTTTTATGGATATTTTTCTTCAAAATAAACGAATAACAAAGACATTTGGAGACAAGAATTAGATAGTTTGCTATTAAACCTCTTTTCTGTCAATCGTGATAGATGGCCAAATGACTAGAAGCAAAACCATGAGAATTAAGAATAAAGACGTAAAAATTGCATGTGGCCAGTTAGCTGGTTACCTTTTAGACATTTGAATTTAGAATTACAATGTATTCTTACATGATGCCAGAAGGGATCAGTGGCTTCTCTCTCAGCTGCGTAGCTCTTCCAGATGTTGACTGATTTGTCAAGTTCGTCTTTAACTCTGTCGCACTGTCGCGCATGGTTGCCGCACGCTGCACGCACCGTGTTGTCAAGATGTGTGTGTATGAGGTAGGATGTTAACGCCCCCTCTACGATGCCCGCCGCATACGCTTGAATGTCGTCTCTATATGTGCCGTCAGTTTCTACTTCTAGAAGTGACCATCTGTTGGATTAAATACATGTAAAATATTTTAGATGCGATATTCTTTCAATGTTGTATGGCAAATGAGTTTTGAAGGTATCCTTTGACAGGATTAAATTCCGTGAAATTTTAAATTCTCTCTGGAAAGTAAATGTCGTAGACAGTTGGCAATGAAGTTTGAACATGAACGACTTTATTTTTTTTTTATTAATTATTGAATTATTAAAAAGCAATTAATAAGTAACTAATACTCAAAATTCTTATGTTAAAGAGAATATTTTCGGAACATAAAACCGATGGATACATAGTTCTAAATCAATTGATACTTAGAATAATATTGGAGGATTTTTTTTTTGTAAAGCATTTTAACTAAACTGCATATTTCAGCTTAGAAAGAAGGCATATATTTGTACTGACCCTGTTGTTTCCATGTCCATTCTGAAGTAAGCGCGGGCGACCCCTCTAGGTAGGTCCGCCAGCTTATTGCTTTGGCCCCAGTACTCGATGCGGTACCCGGTCTTCTCAGAGTAGAAGACCGTCGCCGCATAGTTGCCGTCTTCTTGACTTCTAAATAAATATTAAAGAGTTTTTATTGAAAACAAAAATAATTACCGTCCTGAGAGTTAAAAGTCATATTAACTTTAATTGGTATTTGAGGAATTGTAGGATGAGAAATTAAAAATTTTAAGTACTTAGTTGCTTAAAGAAAATTTGAATTTCATTATTGTCAAACGTAATGATTGATAACTTCACCTTTTCATTTGATATGCTTATGCAATAATTATTTTTATATCTACAAAATGTTGCGTTTCTACTTTGATACGGTAAACATACGAAGAATTTTAAGTAACGACTAATACAAAAATAACAGTAGTCAATCAAAACGATATATTAAGACTTCAAAAATCTATTAATAAACGGAAGAACAGTTATATCGAGTTGTCTAAAACTTCATAAAGTTATTACTATCTAATAAAAAAACCTGCGTTTACTTTGCAGTAAAAAGCTTTGCTTTAGCCCGCAGTATTAAATACGTTTGGCAAAAACCCATACATACAAAGCCAGACACAGTAAGGTGATAATAAATTAAAGCTTGCATTTAGTAGCATTAAGGTAAAAGCATACCTCTCCATCTGTCCAACGAACAGGGCGACTATAGCCAGAACGCCGAGAAATCCCAGAACATATGAACTGATTTTAGTCTGAAGCCAAGAGGCGCCTACTACTTTCAGCATCTTGGTCATTTCTTGTGGTGATATATATAATATGGATTTATAAAATAAAGAAGATATTAAGGAATTTAATAATAATGAAGTGACAGAGCGTGTAGGTGATTTTCTCTAATGGGGTAGCGATCATCAAAGTGGTGCGTCGACCGCCAGTGTTCACGGTGCCCCTGACGTTACTCCGGCGTCTGGTTGCGGAGACAGCATTGGATACCCTCCGCTGATTTAGATCACGTCTATTCAGATTATATATCTTCTATCTTTAACCCTGGAACAAAAGAAACATGAATTAAATAAGCATCTAAACTAGCTGGTAAATACTGCAACGAAACATGAACACTTCATAAACGCTTAAATCTGAGAAACGTAAATGTTTTAATAGAATTTGACGTAACCCTATCATTTGAAGAGCTTTAACTTATTTAAATTTCGTTTCAGAATTCTACCGAAAGTCGTTTGTCATTTCTTTTTCGACTAATATCTATCTAACAGAATAATTATTTATGTACATTTTATTAATTGGAATCACTATTATGTTTATTCTCAGAAAAAAAGTACGTACCTATGTTAACTACAATATCAGTCTCTCAATATCACATCACATCAATAAACACTAATAAAATATAAACAATATCCATTGTTATAACTTCACAAGGAAAAACATTGTTCAGTTTGTCCGTCGGTTTGTTATACACAACTAGCAGGTGAAGAGACAGGAGTCGTTTCGCTACCTTTATCATTGAATCAATACGAGATAAATATATTATTTAAACATCTTCAGCTACATTAAACAATCTGACAAACTCAAACACAAGTTAATACTGATAAATGTTACGCATTTCTTTGTTTGTTCACAAAAACTGATCAAATTAAACTGGCTTCAGAATTTATTTCAGTTAAAAAATTAAGATGCAAACATAACTAAAATCAATCTAACCTTTTATTCGAAACCTTGTAAATTTCAAAGCATTTGTGAATTAACTTTATTTCTTCAACTCGCATCTATAAAAGTAATTTTTGCAAAACTTTTTTGTTACACCAAAAAAACACTAAACACTTGAAATAATTGACCTCAAATATAATTTTTTAAAATAAAAACTTTCACGTACATATTAGAAGCACTTACTCCGTATCACTCACTCACTTCTCACGATGCAAGTTACTATCCTAGTAACAATAGTATCAAAGTGGAAATCATACACTTGTTACCTGAAGTCTTACACGTGGACGATAGACAAGCAACTATCAACAAATACCAGTAGCCGATTCACTGCAAGTTCTACAACACTAAAATACTGAAGAACCATGTAATCTATGTAAAGCTGTCTATATAAATCATTAGAAATCCTTATTACCTAAGGTGTTGACTTTATGCCCAGTAAATATCCGTTCCTGAAATAACCATACAATACACGTTCGACTCTAAGCCGTAAATACTTAAGTACATAAACGATAAATATCCACGTTTACTACCTTAAATTATGCACATACATGTATATAGAAAGTAAATAACATGTATTAAATTCCGATAAGTCAATAAACCCTCAGTTTTAACGCATTTAATTCCTATAAACCTTCAAAATATATGAGCTTCTTGAACATTCAACAGATTTTCCATATCCTATGTTGAGCCTTGGGAAAGACGCCAAGTATCGCAACGCATGAAAACGTGTTCTAATGCAGTTTTGATATTGCCGCTGTTTATATAAAATTATACGGCAAAGTTACACGCGCATACTAGCCCGTCGGTTAGTACATCGGATAACGAAAAAAATCAACCAAAAAAGTGCCAATTGTAAATCTATACATATAACAAAATTGGACTGTCCGTTTGTAATATCAAAAGAAAAATTCCAGATTTCAGGAAGATGTTGTATTTGCGTCGCTGATAACGAAAATCGCATTTAAAAATTTAACTTACTCCGAGATTGAGTGCAAGCACACCGACTTTGCACTCAGTACTCGTGCACTTATTCTCTTGCACCTTGAAACGTGAAACCCCGTGATATCATATAGGCGCCATAGCAACTGACATGCGCCTCCTATTACATGTATCATAAATTGTTATTAAACTAGCTAATTATATATTTTTACTGAGGCAGTAAAGTATGGATAAGACTAGAGTATTTTTACGTTTTTTTAGAGTATTTTGTTTTAATTGATTAAAAGCACACTATAAGATCGATGGCTCGTATTTTTGAAACGCAAATTTTGCAACACAAATATTTAATACGATTAATTAAAGAATATCAAATATGAACATATAATAAAATAAAAACATCCTGGATCAAGCTCATCGCTCATATCGCACACTTTTTTTTAATTAAAGGTATTTTCGAACAATTGGTAATTTATTGATAATTATTTAATATGAGAGTCATGTCCACTTTATTTTGTGTGATATAATTATGCAACTGCTGATTGAACACAAATATATTTTAAAGTTCTTTTTGCTTACAGTGATGTCCCTTAACAAGCGGTAACTATCAAACTTTACGTGATTTGACATGCGTAAGTTAGAATTGGGAATTTTCATTCGCGTTTATTCTGTTTCTACTCACCTGGGACTTCTTCTCTTCAAATATCACACTAAACGATGTAAATGTGAATAGTACTAACTCGTTTAATATATTACAGAGATTTTCACCCGTGTCTGATAGTTTCGTATATCTATTTTTGAAATTCCGAAATATTGATTTAGTGTATCGTCGATCTCACGCGAGTTACGCAGAAGCACTGGTTGTTATTGCAAGTTAACGAGATTAATACATATTTTTATTAACATCAACTAGGTATACGAAGTTTCAAAAGGACGTCCGTCTTCGTAAACATTTCTAAAGTAAATCAATGCTGGCGAACGCCGGATTACATTTGGTTTTATGAATTTTATGATGATGCCCGTGTATATTTTTGAAGAGCACCCGCCATGTTTATCGACACGTTATGGCTGATAAAGTGGTGCTGGGTACACTTTTGTATGAATAACACCTCTTGCTGTATCCGAATCGTAAAAAGTGACTAATGCAGAAGTATCAAGAGGATGAGTAAACTGATCGATTGGGTTTTACTCAAAGAGAAGCGTAAGCTTACATACAGTGTAGGAACTGAAAAAATAGACTTAGAGCGTCTGCACACTTGAAACTAAACTATCGCACAACTGTTTAGTCCTGCTTTGATTCCTATGAGCTTACGAGGTGTGCACACTACTCGATTAGTTGTGTAAATTAACTGTTGTATTGGCTATGAAACAATCGACAATCGAAGAACAGTTTGCGATAGTTTAGTAAAAGGTGTGGGCCCGCTCTTAGAGAGATTTTTAGCAGAGCAGATTTTTATAGCACACGTATTTCTTTACTAAACCTTTAACAGAATATTTATAAGACATTAGCATCATTCACGAGGATTACTTTATAATTTTAATAACTTATTGTAAGCTTAGTATTTGATGAAGTGAACGAAGTGAAGAAATTAATATTCCCAAGCAATAATAAGTACGTAATACAGTTTGCATAAAGACTTAGCGTTAATACCAAAAGTATACAAAACATAGAAATAGAACGATTACATTGGTTACATAACGATGAGAAAACAGTTTCGGGCTTCTTAAATCACATACTTAAACATAAATGAATTCGCTGACAATTAGATAAAAATTGTACGACGTCAAACGAAATGTTTAAAATAATCTTACTACGCAAAATATCAAAGATCACATCTTTTTATTTATTACTTTCCTTTCAAACAAAAATTTATTTGTCCTTGACTTCAGATCCTTTAAGAGTAGGAAAACGGTTGGTATGATTTTCGCGCCTAACAAAATTAAGTTCAGACATTTAAATATTTTTTTTTAATTTTCTTGTAATCTCCTTTCATACTATTTTTAGGTTAGGTTCCATTTTTTGAACTTTTATTCCCGCCATACTACTTTCAAACAAATACATCTAGAGAATAAAAAAGTGAAGTAAGAGAAAAAGCAACGTGTTCGACCTCAATTTAACACAATAACAAGTGAAATGCAAACATTCGAAATAAAACAATAATAACGTACATCGACATTACACGAGTTTTTTTTTATTATAATGCAATTACAACCAGCATGTGCCAAATAATTCTGCATCATTCGTTTATTTGTTTTTGCCATTGCCATTTTTAATTATTTGCAATGTTTTTTTTTAAATATTTATTACATCATGTTCAATAACAATATAATATTGAATGTTGCCATCACATCGTTTTATTGGTTACGATTTAACGACTCTGTTTCTTTTAGTTTTATTGCGATATCATTCCTGAAATATAATATATTTTTACTCTATATTTTCTCTGCCCGTTCTTACAATACAATAAATCCCAAAATATTTATTTTGTTTGTCTTTAAGAATAATCTATGTGCGTATGTTTGAATATCTTAACATTTAAACAAATAAAGTTGATCCCAAAAATGTAATTATGTTCGTAATGATTACTTTAAAAAAAAAAACAAAAAAAAATCTAGCAATATAACAACAATTGCGACATAATTCGAAATTATTTCCTGTTACGCTAATAAATCTTGTTTTGTAAGCCAGCAGTCAATTGATACAACACTTCAGATTTACAGCATCGCTTCTTCGGAATGCAATCTTGTATTGGCCGTGTATCTTTAGATTCGATTATTGCAGTGACTTAACATGAGTCTAATGCGTCAATCAAATGGACGTCTTGAGATTATGGTTTGCATAATATTCTTGATTGATCGGAAACTCTGACCATATGCTAATTGTTAACTTTTCCCTCTGTTCTCTATATATAAGATTAGTTTATTAAGAAAATGATATAGGTAATTCAGTTTACTTAAACAATTTTTGTTGTGAAATTAGTGAATTTCAAGTCCCCTGAATATAATATATAAATGATGCTTTTTTTAACGAATAGTCCATACATTACACGAACGCTCTTAAACTGTATATAGACTGTATGTAAACTGACATAACTTTGCACGGATATAGTTTTTGGATGTTATTCAAAAGCCTTGACTTTATCTTAATACGTAACAAGAATATTTACATGTCGATTTTAGAATTGACAGCCATTTAATAAGTAGTTGCGAAAGTTATTTTAAAATAGTACAACTGAAGGATTGTAGAATTTATTGTTACGTGATAATTTACGTGTTTATTTAATAGACACGTTTCTCTATATATGATTTGTCACGAGCTCGTTCAATTTACAATGTTAGATATTAGAATAGGACTAATTATGCAAATACGTCATCGTAGAAAATCTTTTAACCAGCTAACCAGCTGGGATGTTAAAACATAAACATAGAAAATAATACAAACTAAAGAAAAAAAGAGCAATATTAAATTGATTTATATTACAGTCTAGGGATCTAATTTGTGTATTAAATAATGTTTAAATAATTCCTCAAATTTTTTGTGAAGGTCAAAGTGTCAACGTAGTCAACGTAGAAACAAGGTCGTGTACAAAAGTAAATGCTTGTCAAAAAGTAAAAAATAAACCAATTAGCATTTCAATTGTATCTATGCCTATGATACTAACAATACAAGATTTGTAGTGAGATTTTGTTTAAAAGTAAATTGTAATGAGTTATTTACTTCATATGTAAGTTTGTAAATCACACTGATTTGCCTATAGTTCCACTATTATAAACCTAATTCAAAAATAATACGGTCTATAATGCTTTATTCCACGTGCAAGAGGCAAGGACAGTATCAAATAAAAGCAGCAAATCGAACAGCGAGACGTTTTTTTGTGTCTGCAAAGCCCTGATTTCGATCACATTGTTAGCAGGGAAAGGGAGATCCTGTTATAAGAGGCAAAGTGAATGCACTGGATAGTGTGCGGGCGAGTGAACGCACTCCCACGGTGAATGAGATAGGGGTCAATGACCGACTGCCCGTGTTGCACTCGTAACTTGGCCTCAGTGCATTCCGGCCCTAATTAAAGTTATTGAGAACCATGCGTTCCGTTTAAATCTTTCACTAGTGTTACAAAACACTATAATTAAAGATATTTTTTATCCAACTCACAGAATAGCATATTAGTACGATTTTTTTAATGAATGTACCATCGGGAGATCTGGCGGTATTCCAAGTTAAAAACTACGCAGAACAAAAACCAACACGACAGCTTTGAAATGTATACGAAAAAAGGTCGCTCAGTACACGACTAATTACTTTCTATTATTATCACGTCGTTTACGCAACTCACTGCTACCAAAGCGGTTATTTGCAAGAAGTGGAGTTTGTCTCTGCTGTCTGCAATTTTTCTAAAGTGAAACACCAAAGCTATCCACGACTGTACGTTTAGGGCAGTTATCTATAGATGCATAGAACTTAATCTTTACTAGAGCAGACCGGTCTGGGGTATCGTGGGGTCGGAACAGGTCAAAACGTGTTATAAAGGTGAATGGATGAAATACATTACAAACTGGATTTCACTCGTCACTTGACGGACGGGTGTAGGTGAACGAGTTCATAGTTTTCAAGTTTGTTCGCTTGACATTACGAATGCGACGGAAGCGATAAGTGAAAACAAGTCTTGCAACAGTAATAAACCCAATCAAGAAATCCGGAATCGTTTCGATACAAAATTTAAATTATATTAATTAAAATGAGAAAAATTTAAGCCATTAAATTAATAAATAATAATTTATTTAACTCATGTAACAAAATATTACACATATGACATTTACATTTACAAAAGTACATGTTACATTACATTACACACACATAATGAAAAGGAGAAACTAAAATTAAAACGATCTAGGGGAACCGATGCCAGCTAAATTAATAAAGTTCTCGTCTAGTCATAAGAATTAATACTTTATTTTTTCAATTCATGTATTTTTAACTGTTTCTTTGATTGCCTTATTAAAAAATAAACCAGACTTGTCGTTGCTATGCTGTGCTGTTGCCGTTTTTCTTGAATTCATTACAATTTAAATTGTCTCCTTGGCCGAGGCACAGAAACCGAGATAAATAAGGTGGTATTCGAGAAATGTCGGTATGCGTCTACCTGCTGCCAATGTACAGTTTTTGTTAATAGTAGATAATACTAGAGTCGTAATATTATTAAAAATACATTTATTTTATTATTAAAGAGCGTTAAGTAATAATTCAACATTTGATTTTTTTAATCTTTATTAGGAGGTGGGATTATTATCTTTAAAAAGACATGCCAATCCCATAGTGCTAACATTTGATGCCGTGTTTTTTATATATATTTTCTCGATACTACGATTCTTTGTTTTACGTTTCGTTTCTTTGGTTTTCTTTTCGTTTTACCATAATAAAATAAAATCCTTAAACTGTATATGTACGAAAACTTATTAAATACACGGGTTCAAGGAATTAAGTTCGGGTTTTAAAGATCGCAATGACCTTACGAGGTTTGTTTAAAAACTACAAAAAAGGCAACATTAATTACTTCAGGTAATTTTAAATACGTTTGTCATATGCTGTGGAAATAAATACAGTGGGAAAATGTTATTAATTAAAAACAATTATTTGGATATTCAATTACTAATTATAGACGTAATTATCTTAAAAATAGTCGAGTTCATCAGCTTCTTAAAACGTCTTGTATACCACGAAACCAGCTTGAACATTCTTTGGTATATATCTATCTATGTATCTAATAGGGCGAAAGAAGAATACGAAGTAATAAAATAAAAGAACTAGATACTAATTAAGGGTTAAATGTCTCGCAATTTTGTTCTCTATGTCATTTAAAATAAAGCATATATTGTAATGTACTTACGAAGTCAGTGGTGTGACCACAAACACGTAGTGTCGGCGTACTCAACCCATCGGGATGGAACTGTTCGCAACGGTGGGCGAAGATGAGGCAAAAATCTAGTAGAATGCTACAGATCTGGAACAAATACAAATAAATTAACAATGCATTATAGTGTTGCATTATTGGAGGTGTTTAGAAGAATAAAAAGACATATCAGATGATGTAAAAGGTAAAAGATTAAGGTAAGTGAACCAGTTATTGACCTGCCAATTTGTATGAAGGAAATGAAAAATTTTGTAACATTAAAAACCGGCCACGGAGACAAACTTACTACGACTATTTAAAAAATGTTCGTTTTCTCGTCATCGTTTCTGAGGAAACAAAGAAAGTGTTTGTCGTTAGAATTGCCGAGTTATTGTGACTACTATTGACGCAAGCGAAGACACGGGCATACCAAAACATTGAGTTAACCCAGAAAGCTATCGCCAAGTTAAAAAAGCAACATATTAAACTATAACAGTGGTAGATCCCGCTTTAATATCTTCGCACGAATGGGGCGCTCCCCGGCAGCAATACCACGACCACACAGAAGACAGGCTTGAAGTGGGAGCAATTCCGCGTTTCTTCTATTGAGTGTGGTGACGGATACCTAATTTTAGTCCCTTTTCCTTTCCACCCTTTTATCGTGAGGAAACGATGGGAAGGTAAATAGGATTTGACGGCTGAAGAGACGCATGCGAAGGAAAATGTCCTGTTTATGTGCATCTCCTCTTCCATCGATTAAGGGTAGGCAAGGCATTTGCAATTGCGGATGTCTATGGGCAGTGGTCGCTTCGCCATTTCGGCGGATTCGAGTAGCCACTTGCTCGTTTACCTAATAATAAAAAAAATATATAGTTTTAGAAGTAGCAATTATAAAAATGTAATAGTTACTTTTATGCATTCTACATTAGCATGTTTACATTATGCCTTTGTTGTTTAATTCATTAGAGCCCAGTCTTAAAATACATGAATAAATAGTGTTAATGCATGTATGTAGTACGATAAAACTGGTTTGTTATCAACATCACGCCATCTTCATGTCATTGAAGTTAGAAAACAGGACTAGGACGACCTGTTAGCAATTCGGCGAAGAAATTTAGTACATCGGATTCAATTAATCTATTCTTTTAATCGTATGAAAACGCCGTTTTGAATGTAAAATGTTTACTATTTTGTAGTCTTCTTTTTAATATATTCTTACAAATGTATTACTGTTTTTCGCACCTATTAAAAAAATACTCATTAATGTAATAGTAAAAACAGTTTTTTTTTTAAACTGATGACATAGTTTTAAGAGGAAAAAATAATAATGAGTGTATTGACCTCAATTCAAAGAACAGTTCTCAAAGTCAAGTGCAAATGGACTTGACAAAATATTTAAATAATTTCTTAAGACCGTCGCCTGTTATCTTATATTTACGTTCCACGTTGAGCCACTTAAGTCAAGTCAAATCTACCGCGGATTAGTGTCTCTTTGATAAGAGAAAGAGATAGATAGTCCAGATAAGAGAATGAAATATAAGATGACATGACACGACATTTTTTGTAGTATCCATGCTTTGACTTTAAAAGTCTTTTCTTCTTTATTTCGAGGTTTTTTTTCTTTTTTTATTTCATAATGCGACGAGCGATGCGTTGCTACCCTAAATCGACCTCGCGTACTCCAGCGTCAATTCCACGTTCCCTTCTCATCCTTTCCTTATAAGAGAAAGGGTGGAAAGGAAAAGGGACTAAAATTAGGCCACCGCCACTACTCATCAGACGAAACGCGCAATTGCTCCCACTTCACGCCTGTCTTCTGTGTGGTAGTTTTAATTCCAAAACATTTAAATGTTTACACATTTTTTAAATGCGTAAAAAGTATATTTTAACTGGAAATTTAATATTTCATATACGCGTTATAACCTCACCCCTAAAACATTTAAAAACCTAGCTATAGACCCGACGAAGGTAACAATACGTCTGGTTGGCATAGCAACAGCGATGTACAAGGGTCATTTGAGATCGAGACAGACGTGATGGCCGCGTCTGAGCGCAAGCCCGCCCAGGTGGGTCCCCGTATCATTTGTAACTGGAGAATGGACGATAAAATACGCTTTTTATAACACCAAATGATATACAATTTTGATAATTTATAAACTTGTTATTTCATATTTTTTTAATGCATACGAGCTGTCGCCCGCAAACTTCGTTAGCGCAAATTTGGACCACCCGTTACGCCGTTTTGACAGTTAGGAATTAAAAAAGTAGCCTATAATATGACCGTCTATGTCAGCTACCCTCCAGTGAAAGTCCGGTCGACATCGGCCCAGCCGTTTCTGAGTTTACCCGGAACAAACACGGCTTGCGGACAGACAAAGAAATTTTATAAGCGATTTTCGTTATCAGCAACACAAATATATAATCTTTTTGAAATCTGGAATCTATCTTTTGATATTACAAACAGACACACCAATTTTATTATATATAAATAGATGGATAGATAAAGGGAAAAATCTTTAGCTTTTAAATAATAGCAGATCCAGTAACATAAGTTAAAATTTAACATTCTTCTATGGCAGTCAGTAAAAATATAATAAAACCCGGGAAAGTTGCATTTGAGTTACACTTCAATTCAATACACAAAGGCGTAGAAATTGTTGATAACAACTGATAGTGATGTAGAAACGACCCCACTGTTGCATCAGTGCTGCGACGATAGCTCATTTAAATCACAAATGATTTATTAGAAATCAATGACGTTCCTTACAATTTACAGCATTATGTATCCAGAGTATAATAAATATGGATAGCGAGAATTCAAATAATTTAACAAACAATTTGAAATTATAATTGATATTGAATTATTAAAATGACATTTGAATCAAGACAGATTTTATGAAGGTTAAATCTAGATTTATAATGATTTAACAGGCTAAGTAAACATTATTTAAATTTATGTGTAAATTAAAGTTTTTTTTCCTATATTTGGCACTAATTTACACATGCCAGTGTATGCACACGCCATGCAACATGTTGGAAGTCGATAATAATTTTGTTTAATCCTCATTGGGCAACTCAGCTATCTGGTCAATAATCGGTGAAACCACCTTAATATTATTTTGATGACTGCAAGGATATGTAGAGATACCTTTTAATTATTTCTTTTTTCCTGTTATTGTCTATACGTTATTCTCGGAATACTTAAAACGTCGTGCATTTTTGTAAAACTTATCTACATTATGATGTTTACACACTATGATATATGGTAAGATATACAGATAACGTATGTACGAACGGACGTCATTAAGATATTTCCATAGTACTGTGATGTTGAACTATAATTCATATTTTATCTGTGCACGTCAAAGTGGAAAGATTTATCGCTGTTTTTCAACTAATTTTAGGCACAAGATTCTGGCTGAATATTAACTGCGTATATTTATGATTAATAAATTTAAAAATTTGCACTCACCTAATAAAAATATTTTATTTCTTTTTTATTACGCGTTTACTTATTTTTATTCTTATATTTGCGTTAGATGCGTTCCATTCACATGAACGTTATAATAATTTACAATTGTGTTATAGCTGTGATTAACCATGTCTGTTAAACGGTTATAAAACTAATTGGATTATGTTATAAATATAGAATTGAAGCACATTTTTATACTTAAACATTCCTAATGATAATAATAGTCTAGTGTTGTAGACTTAGGTTTAACTACTAATCTACTAAATAATAAACTATTTGACCTTTAGCACCAAGATAGTTCCTATTAAAGTTAGCAGAATGAAGTTTAAAGTCAAATTCAATAATAATAAGTATAAAATCTAAGCAGCAATTGCAAAAAATACAGTTTTGTATTGTATTGAAATGGTGCTGTTACTCGCACAAGACTTCAGAAGGTCAACTTCAAACAAGGTTACGTGTTTTCTAAACTCAATGATTGAAAAATATACAAATACAACAGAAAATAGAAGACACGATATTATCAAATTGATACACACGTCACCGTGGGGGGCGCCACGAGCACGTGCCGAGATCGTTCTCTGTAGGGTTGCCAGTCTCTACATCAAAAGGTCCCTAATGATAATTTAACATAATTAAACGCTTAGATATTTTTTCTAAAACATTTATATATATCACATTTATCTCAATAAAAAATAGTTACCTACATTTTACATTATCATCAACTCCCCGCCTTATTTGAAACCAGTCATGTTAGTTTTCAATATTAGATGTCTATGACCAATCCTGGCAGAAACATTTTTATTGTTACCTGCACGTGTTTTCTAAACACCTATTTTATTATCGTTTGTATTTGATTCTTAACTTTTATATTTGGAATTGCCAAGTATGCTCTGTTATAGCATTCTTCTATCGACTTAGTCTAGTTTATTAAAATAAATTATTGATTGAATGATTTGATAGCAAATTAAACTAAAGTAGAATGTATCAATTAGTTAATGACGTACAGGCATGTAAATTTTCTAAAATTAAAAAGTAGTTATTTGTTATTTTAAATTTATTTCAAGGTTCAATAAAGATTCATTCATTATGCCGGAACATCAAAAGGTATGACGGAAGGATACGCGAGTAGTGACGTCACATCTATTGAATCATTTTCGTTATCTCGTATCGAATCTTATCAACTAGTAGGGACACGTTTTACCATATAGTCATAGTTGACTAGAGAATTACTGTGAAATTACACTTAAAATAATATAGTTTAATTTTTTTTCTTTAAAAGATTGATGAGTCCATAACATACTATACAAAACCTGAGTGTTATAATCAGACGTCAGATAATAGAGATAGGCATACGTATAAATATAAAAAAAATATCATGATTATTTGTCACATTTCAGTAAGATTTTAAATCCAAACAGGAAAAATCTTTGAAACAATTTTTATTAACAATCGAGGTCTTATTAGTTAGAGCTGTCGCGTATTGATAAAACAGACGTTTATGGTTTTCCCGCGGTCGTACGCGAGTTTTATTTTAAAACGTCTGTAAATATTTCGTTTTGATTCATTGTTCTGCCTGGCAACGCGATATAAATACATGGACCACGTGTTAATTGACAAAACGTAGAGTTCGAAACAATGATCGGATATAAGCCGGACCGATTGGGGTCAAGTACCGCATGTCTAGACAACGCTTTACTTTTTAAGTTTAATTATATTTTTTGTTACAAATAACAGCAAAAGTCAATCGTGAATAAAGTGAACACATATTTCCTTAGTATTTATGATTCATTATTTCCTTGTTATGCAGCCATTACAGCAAAATATCAACATTTGTTGTCAAATTCCACAAAAGACAAGAGAATGTAATGGTTAGGATAGTGATACTAAAGAAATGAGTTAACTTAACTTAATAAAGATAACTTTAATGCGATTATGTTGGAAAATGATTGTGAAAAGCGAGTTAACGTGAAAAATTGTACAATATGTTTATGTTAAGTCAATTTAATGTAAAGAATATCTTACGTTTTCATCGATTATCCTCTCGAAGTTCTGAAGGTAGCTTTTGGGGTAACAACACCAAGGGGACTACATTTGAATAGGCACTGTTAAGGGCTTTCGTTGCGAACTACAATGAGCCCTGTAGGAACACAACCGTTCTAAGTTACATCGAATTAACGAGTGACGTTGTCGCTTTCGCACACATTGTGCTCAGTGGCGCTGTCAGCCTGTCATGCTGTCAGCTGTCAGCGACCGAGCGGCGTGCGCGCAGCAATCAAGCAATGCTAAAACCCTTGATGCCTGACCGATTAAATAAAAATTAAAGTGATGAAATAATTAATCTTTATATTCAATTTAGAAAATTCAGACAAAAAAAGAATTGAAATAGATTTCAGAATGTAATTACAATATAATAAGGCCTTTTATTTAAATTACTGTTAAAGTATTTTTACAATGGACGAGTAGTATGATTTTGTCTTTTCTCTGTAAAAAAAAGAAAATGGAAAAGTAATATTTTCCTTTCGCGACTAATTTTTAACAAAGCGCCATCTAGGAGCAAGTAGCAGTACTACTTCAAGTTTTCATAGTGTTCGTGCTGTTAAAAACGTAGTTGTATAATGTAATCGTACTAGATGTCACTAGTAACATAATTGTATGTAATTTGCAATGATAATTTTAAACAAGTATGACCTGGAGAATTTTTCTATATATTAAAACATTAGTTATCGGTATATCTAATGTTAATAAAAAAATAATCAAATTTGATTAAAAATAGGACCAAAATTTAAGTCTAAAGATCTTGTGAAAAACATAAGGCAAGATGTTTTACTTACTCAATTTGCCTTATTAAATATTTACGACGGCAATAAAATTACATTTTTTTAATCTGTACTAGCGACCTTGAAAGTTAGTAAAAAGTTTTGAACTTCTAACCATCAATTTATTTATTAATGTGGGTATATTTTTTTGTTACCTTGTGAAAATTTGTGATGCCGTACGGAAGGTCATCATTTGATACCAATATAAAGTACGGAGCGATCGTGAATTAGTTTTGCATACATAAAGATGAACAACTTGAATAAATTAGATACCGAAGTAGACGTCACTACTTTAGATTTAAGTAGAAATGAGGAAATAGAAATAAATGAGGTAAGTTGAAGTACACACGTAAATTTGTCATAAACATGTCCCTCATAAATGTATTTGTTACAGGAAGCTGTAAATCTTCAAAGCGTAGATAACGAAAAACAATTAAAAAGTACAGATTATGAACCTGGTACGTTTTTGTACTTTTTTTTAAATAGATTTATTTTCTATCACGGTTACAAGTGGCACAGCGAATGGTTTGTATACCAATTCTAAGAATTGTTTCTAAGCTTTTTTAACAACATTGTTACCTTTAAGAATGGCGGATGTAGACTTGTCTGGTGAACTTTTTTGTAGAACGGTACATGAACTCTTCAATGAACGAATAAGACTGGCATAAAAAGTTAAACTATAAGAACGTATAAACTTTATAAAAGTTTTCGCAACCATAGTTACCGATTTCGACACATTTAGTACCACTCAGGAAACGGTAAAAGCACAGATAATACAATCCTAAAGTAAAAGACATGTCGATGACAATACATTCAGACGATTGGAAGATTTTGTTCTTTTTAGAAGTCTAAAGAAAGAAAACTGGAATTATACTTGGAAACTAGACTTAGATAAAATAATTAGAACTTATTTATTTAGATGCAGTGACAGTTTTGAAGATGGATCCGGCGATTATAGAAGCACGCGTCGTCAACGACTATAGCTACGGTGATCCTTTTCCTGAACAGGATGAAGAACAAGGTATTCACAGTTAAAGAATTTAATTAATTTCCCACTTAAGATCAAATATCGTGCAGAAATTTGTCAATGCAAGAGATATACGCATGTAAACGTATTAAATTAATATTTCTCTTCATCGTAAATGATCAGTAATTTCACTAAAGTTAACTTTATTTTCAAATTATAACCTTTCTATGTTCAGAATTGGTTGGTGATGAACACAATTTATTAATAATTATTTTTTATTACACTAATGTTTACTACAGAATAATATAGAAAATTAGTTTTGCATAAAATGCATAAAATAATTTTATAGGCTTTTTAGTTCACGACATTACATTTACTTGATAAAAAAAATTACCATTCAATTATTTCGCAAGTTGCCAACCAGACTTCATTGAATGGCCACGTGACTTTACAAAAAAGTTTTTTCAATTAATGTTCGAAACTTTTTATTCGCTTTTTTAAGTCTTCGAACCCCGCGCCCGATGTAGCTATTTATAGACGTATAATAACCCCAGGTAAAGGGTTTTTTGCTGGAACATTACTATGTTTTCTAACGGTTATTACACATTAATTTATAACATCGTTACTTTCCTTATTTCCTTTAGGGTTACTTAAATAATTTTAAATTAGGTATACAAAATTAAGGAAAATAGTTATAACCTAACTATTCTCCTTATACTAGATGTTGCCCGCGACATTTCTTTGGGATGAACCTTATCCCATGTATACTCCAGACTTTTTATATCTGTGCCAAATTTCAATAATATATGTTTAACCGTTGCAGAATTATCAAGTAAACATTAAAAAACTAAATTATTGAATCCCACGAGAACCGTAACTATTCCCGGGATAAAAAGTAACCTGTGTTCTTCCAGACTATCCCCTATATATATGCCAAATTTAATTGAAATCCGTTCAGCCGTTTAGGCTACAAACTTAAACAAACATCCATACATCCATCTAAACTTTCGCATTTATAATATCAGTATTATCGTTATATGATTATTCTCCAGATTTTTATTTGAATTTCCAAATAGCTTTTGTTCGTAACTTTGTCGGCGCGGAGTTAGTCCAAATCTAGTCATAATTAAAATTACTTTATGTGATAATATAGCTCGCTCATACCAAAAGAATATTCAGTAAATAGAAAAAATGTTCCCCTTTATAATATTAGAGAAAAATTACTAAAAGGATAAACTAGAGAAGGGTCCGTGTAAGGATTAAATTTCAAAAGTACCCTAATAATAATATTAGTTGTCTTGTCATACTAATATTATAAATGCAAAAGTTTGGATGAACGTATGGATGGAGGGATGGATGTTTGTTAGAGTTTGTAGCCTAAACGGCTGAACGGATCTCGATGAAAATTGGCAAAGATGTAGAGGATAGTCTGGAAGAACACAAATGCTATACACTTTTGTTTTATTTATTCCACGCAGACGGTGTCGCGAGCGAAACTTAGTCACAAATAAAACTTCAAACTGAAGGTGCAGGTTTTTTTATAGCTAAAAAGTACTTACAAGGGCATTCGTAGCCATTTTGCAACTTCGAGCAATCTAACACACTTATCATATGATTACTATATCATCGGTCATTGGTGTGTAAATCATAGAACAGATTAACTACATTTTATTTACAAACTGACAATGTGTAATTTATTTCTTAAAATAATACAGGTCTTATGGGTGAAGGACAAGCCCGCGGGCGTTGCTTGCATTCTCCTAAGATTGCTAAATAGATTTGGTTCTACTAAGTTGGTTCTTGTTTAATTCCAGCTTAAATTATAGAGTACTAGTTTTTGGCAGTGACTCCGTCCGTGTGTAATCAATAAAACAAATTAAGTAGCCTATGTGTTCGTCCAGACCATCCTCTACATTTTTATTACCAAATTTCATCGACATCGGTTCAACAGTTTAGGCGACAAACTTCATGAAAATTTAGTAAGGCAGTAAAATTTGTATCTTTGTCAGTTTTTATATTTCACATTATAGTATTAGACCGCTTCATATCCTTGAAAATGTTAAGCTAATTGGTATTTTTATTAGTAGATATTTAAGAATACGTCTAAAGTCTATAATCTCCAAGGTTTCTTCATAAATCTAAAGTGTGAAGGAATATAAAATTAACATACATTAGCAAATTAAACAGGCGAATTAACATAGTAATTATCAATTGCTTTTAAGCAAAACATTTATTACTTAATATAAAATTGTCGTTTTTGGGTTGCAAAATTTTTCGTTTCACCTCTACAAAAGGTAATGATGTTTCATATATTGAATGAATTTTATGTCACTAGCTTACGCTCGCGACTCCGTCCGCATGGGATTAAAAAAATAATAGTGAGTAGCATAGATGTTCTTCCAGACTATCCTCTACATCTATACCAAATTTCATTGAAATCCATTCAATTGTTTAGGCTACAAACTCGTAACAAACATCCAACCATCCATCTAAACTTTCGCATTTGTAATATTAGTATGATTTGCTAAATATTTAGGTTTTCCTGGGGCAAATTACAAACGGGCGGAGTACACAATTTGTCGTTGACTTACACACCCTAGTAACGTCTTTCACTCATACATTCTGAGAACCAGTTACCCTGTCTTACTTTAAAGATAGGTCATAGCTAACCACATTTCAGTTGAACAACACAATATAATTTTATTAGTTGTAAGTTCCAGAAGCGAATGCGAGCGACTGGGAGGAGAGGCTTGGCTTCGCGGAGTACTTAGCGGCGCTGCAGCAGAGCGCGCGGCTGAGCATAACGCCGCAGCAGTGTGCGCTGCTCATCCTTTACGCCAACCATCTGAAGCGGCTGCCGCCCCGCAACTCACCCGGTGTGAGTACAACTATACACTACATCCAGTCTCTGGAAATTGACCATTTTTTGTCGTGTTTGTTCATAAAGCAATGCCTGAAACATTTTTCACAAGAAAGTCTAGCCTTGGGCAACTTCCGGGCTTCCGCCACTGATTTTATTTTTATGAGAAAAGTATGCACCGATTCCGTGACCTATCAGAGTAGCACAGCTTGCAAATAAAAAGTGTGTGGTCTAGCGTAATAATAATTATGTAAGTCATCTTGGCTTTAAGTCAAATCTTTATGTCGTCATCAACTTGTCCCTACGGAAGGTGGGAACAGTAAGTGCTGCTCTTCCATACATTTCTATCGGCTACCATATCTAAATCTACTCTCTTCTTAAGCATGTCCTCTTTCACACAATCCATACACACTTTCTTCGGTCTTCCTTACCTTTGTAGCCATCCACATTCAATCTTAACACTTTCTGGTTTATATTTCCATCCTCTCGTTACATGTCCGTACCACGATAACCTATGCTTCTAAATTTCTTGACCACTTTTAACTTCCTCTAATACCGAAATCAAAGTATACAAGTAATGAATAACATTTTATGTTTCAATCGCGTTTTTGTTAACAGGAATGTGTATTTTGTAAGAACAATGGTGAATCAATAGCGTGGTATAGAAGTCACACAATCAAAGACAGAAGGGGGCGCGTGGTGTGTCCGATACTGCGGTCGTTCTGTTGCCCCATCTGCGGGGCGAGCGGCTCACGAGCACACACACCTAAGCATTGCCCTGTCAATAAATACGGGTTCAGTTTCTAACTGAGAATCACAGAAGCCTCGACTGATCAAGTTGGGCGCCTACCCATTGCCGGTACAAACTGTTCAAAGAACACAATATTTGTTATAAGAAAGACGTAAATGGACGGCACGTTGCTGTGCGTGTGTTTTTCTATAATGCGTGTTTTTTTATAATTTGGCTAGTGTTATATTAAAAATGGGCATCTTCTCCAAAGAAGACAAGAAATAGCATATTATCTTTTTTTTTTAGTTTTTGTTATACTTTACAAATGTTAAGCCACGCGTGTTAAACCTTATGAATAGATTGTTGTTTTTTTAATTAAAATAAACGTTTTCCTTTTATTATGTTTTATTTCTTTGAACTGTAATTACAGAGATGGAATTATAATTACTTTAATAATCATGTAAATGCTTAGATAGTCGCAGTACTGGTTTTAGTGCTACCAGCGCACAGGTCGAGAATTCTACTTCTATTTAAAATGTCTCTTACCATAAATAACACTACATAATATTTTGGGCTCATCAATAATCATACACACTACGAAAAATCATGAAGTAGGAGGACCATGGCGTAACTAATAACCCAATTAAAATTATTCGACGGAACTAAGACGCGTTCTTTAAAAAATGGCACTTTTATGCATAAATGTTCGCAACTTTCGCAATTAAAAATTGTCGATTGTACTTGAAGTTATGAAAACATTTGGTTATGTTGTGCCGTTTCTCATTTCCTACAAAAGGATTAGATATTGCCTCACAAAGCATTATGTGTAAAAAGAGCAAATTTTACCTTTTTATAAATTTCTTTTCAAAGAATTCTAAAATTAGAACGACGGCAAGCGTAAACAGATTCCTGCCAAGCTATCCACAATGGCCCTTCCGATCGGCGTGGGACTGTAATATCATTTGATTGGCAACGCAATCGTTAGCATACATCAATCTATATTCTGCTATCTATTTTTAAACTTATTGATGAGTTATTTATCGGAATAACAGGGCTATTGGTATAATTCATTATGTACTAGGTATTGTATACAATTTAATAAACAAATGCCAACTGCGGATTAATGAATAGATCTAGTATTCATTAAAATTTAAGTGTAATTAAAACATTTAATACAACCAGTCAAAATTATGATTTACCTCTTAGTTTTACTTTTTCATTTATAAACTAACTAGCTTTCGCCCGCGACTCCGTCCGCAAGAAAATAAAAAAAAACAATAATGAGTAGCCTATGCGTTCTTCTAGGCTCTCCTTTACATGTATGCCAAATTTCATCAAAATCCGTTCAGCCGTTTAGGCTACAAACTCTAACAAACTTCTATTCATCCATATAAACTTTCGCATTTATAATATTTAAAGATTACTTATTACTTAATCTTCTTGTACGTCAAAAGGTCCTGTAATTTTACGATTACGATTTGGTCACAAATATTTTTTTTTACGTCGGCACAATTTTGCAACGTATGCTCCGCAAATACGATGACTAGGCCCTTAATAGCTTATTTGAAGCTGGAAAAGTGTGAATGTACCTCTATATACAATTTCTGGGAATAAAACCGATACTCCCTACTATAAATAAATACATACATACCCGTGAAAAAGAAAGTATATATTATTTCGTCACCAAAGAGTAACAAGCAGAGCTGTCAAATGCCATTCTAAAAATACGCTCGCCACATCTATGACAGTATTGTCGGACATGAATAGTGATGATAAAACGGCACGTAATTGTGAAGTGAGTTTTGTTCACGGTCGGTCGTAACCGTGGTTTACATTGGGGGGTCAATGACACGCTTTATTCGAGACCACCAAATTACATGGCGGGTTGAGGTAGGGCGGCGCGGCGGCTGTCGCAAGCCGACGGGGGCCGGAAATAGCCGAGCAAGTGCGCGTTCAGATCAACAACGGTGATACATTTTAACGCAGACATGTGAGTCGTGCATGTTCTGATTTTAGTGCTGTCGATGTAATACGACGGAATTGTATAATACTAGTACGAGATAGAATTACATTGATTTTGGTGTGCTTCTACTTTAGCATCAGTACTTAGCTGACGCTGATGACTATATCAGATTGGACACTCATTATTTTGTCGACTACTTTAATACAAAATATTAGGTGCATTAGGAGCAAATTCGATTCTTTGTCCGTAATGGCAAATCACCGCTTTCATGCAACATTCTTTTTATGGTGTAAAGGGCATGCCCGTTCTTTCACTATATACATTTTATGCGCACTTCGTTGGAATTTTCTTTTTATTTAAAATCCACGTATGTGTTACAACTGGCACGTATTTCAGTAAATCCTATTTGCATAGATTGCAAACGTTAAAATGTAATGCGATGTTTACATATCCACAACAAACATAGTAACAGCGATGAGGAAGAGACTGGCCACATACTTGTTAACCCGCCAAATGCGACTTCACGCACACCAATAAGAAAATCTAGAATATTTATGTTACCTAGCGTTTGTGGACTTAGCCCGTTGATAATCTTACTAGGCATACTGTTAAAATATCAAACTGTTTTTTTTATACAAGTACTACAAATTACGGTTATTAGACTTGATTTGATAGATTAACGGTTGTTTGCTTTTTTGCAACCTCTTTCTTACTTTTTAATTAGTTTTTAATAAAGTGCGTTTGATAAATTAAATAGATATTCAATGTTATTATTCGCCAGTTACAGGAGCCAACTGGCGCTCTAATAAACACATTGAAACAGACAACAGATGTATTTAGAGAGTAATTTGTTTAATTGAATCATGACATTTTCTAGCCAGAACTATTAACCTACTTTAAATGGCCTCCAAGGTAATTAATGCAGCGGATTTAAGTTGTATCTTGTGCTAAATAGTTTGTTCCTATCTTAAAACTGAAATGTTCTAAATTATTAGACAAACTACAATAAAGCATTAGATAAAATCAGTTTACTAACTACGCTGTTACCTACGATCATTATTACATTACCATACCGTTGTATTCTTTCTCGAAGGTTCCCAATAAAAAGCTCAGCGTCTTTTCTAGTTAAGGATTACTGTGCCTCAGACTAAGTATTAGTAACTATAAATTTAAGTAAATTTTAGCAAGTTTTAAATCATTTTACTTATACGACTTTTTGCGTAAACAAGATAATGAATTTAATTTGCATATTACTTCCTTAATTAACTAAAGTATTGGCATTTGAATCCTTTACAAGCCGTTGCTACGCGGCTCAGCTGTGCGGAAACCTTATCACTGCTTTAAAATACTTGATGCGTTAAACGTTATTTCTGTAAAACCATTAGTGACCTTACTAATATTAGTTATAAATGCAAAAGTTTAGATAAATGGATTTTTGTTAGAGTTTGCATCCTAAACTAATGAACGGATCTCAAAGTAATATGATTATGTAAAGGATAGTTTGGAAGAACATAGGCTACTTATTTTTGTTTTTTTTTTATGTATTATCTTTATTATTTCACGCTGATGGAGTCCCGGGCGAATGCTAGTGGTATTAAAAAATTTAGCCATTTATCCATAATCACCAACTCGCTATATTTCCCCACTGAGGGGTGTAAGTCCCCTAAGTAAGGGGTGACTATTTTTACCTAAGGTGACATTTGTTACTTCACCCAGCCGTAATTAGTCACAAAGTAGACTAACTTGATTGGAATTTGAATCTTTAATACCGGTATTCAATGACACATTGTATGGGTAAGGCAGACAAAACAATAAAGAAATACTACTCGTTTCTGGGATTACCGAGGCACGGAAAGAGCTTAGCCTAAACAACTTTGTGGACTTCGAGATTTTAGTACCGTTCAAGTAACTTAACCTTTATGCCGTTTTCCACTAAGCAGCACGACATACTCGTGTTCTAATGGTGATGCCAGGGGGATAGGAAGAGCCACCCGCCCCTCCCAGGACAATCGAGATTTGGAAAACAAATAATTAAATAAATTAAAAATACTGAGCTGAAATGTCTAGAGCTCCATAGATATATAATTATTGTCAACTAGCTGTTCCCGTGCGCCTTCATCCGCATAGAATTTTGAAAAATTTATTTTATTGTTCACATGTTTCAATTTCAAATTATCAAATGTAAATGTCAAAATGACATGACGATGACAGACCATAGCAACTTTGCTTCCTTGATGTTGGCAGCAACTAATGGTCTCTTTCCACATTAGTTTTTATCTAACATATTTACCCCCTAAGTTTAATGGCGTGAAAGTATATAGCCTAAAGCGTGACGTGAGTGTAGGACTTTTTAGTAAAAAAAGAATTATTCGAAATTATGCGGTAATTGCTGACGTCTTAGGCAACAAAGAAGTGTGTGTTTACGCTTTATTATAATAGTATAGATAGTTCCTTTAAAAAAATAGAATATTTTGGATAAGCATTGTTTGAAATAAAATAAAAAATAATTTTTACTTCTCACCACTGGATGTGTTCATGTGTCCCATTTCTAATAGCATGGTCGATTACTCTACAAAGTTAAATATTAACAGTGGTTTAATGCGATACAATTTAACTCTAAGATCTTATGGCAACGGAACGTAAGTAATACCTAATTAATATCGACAAATGATTCTTCAACATCCGCTACGAGTATCGGTGCGCCTGCAAAATATCGTATTTCTTACATCCAAGATATTGGAGACGATTGGGATTAATTTAGGCCCTTCATTAGGTTTGAAGTTTTGAAAAGAAATAAAATAAAAAATCAATAAGCGCGGGCGTATACCTTTGACTAAACTATCGCACAACTGTTGTGTAATTATCGATTTGTTTGTAGCGAAATCAATTGTTTAGTTTTACAATTAAAAATGAAGTAGTGTGCGTTTATATGCGCTCATAGGAATCAAGGTTCGACTAAACAGTTGTGCGACAGTTTAGTCAAAGCTGTGCGCGCGCTCCAAGGGTTAAGATTACGTAAATGGAGAGAAAAATCCGACTTTTTTTTACGTAATCATGGAACAACCTAAAGGATATCTATAATGTTGAAATGTAATACATATTTGCACATCATACAAAATACTCCGGCAGCTTCGATTCAATCTTGCGTCATGACAAGCTAAAACAATCTCGTTCGCAAAATAGACGCCGTCAAACACTAGAGATGTCCATAAGTGTCGACATTTATCGATACGCATCTACACAACACTTTATGAAAATAATATTTAAAGTTGCATTGAGTGCATTTTTTACATAACAATGCACGTAAAAATGAAATTGTTGACATTTTATTATTACATAAAAAATCTTTGTTATTCTTGATATCATAATATAATTTTAAATAGAAAACAACCTCCAGCATGGATCATAATAGGTTATGAGATCAGGAGAAAAA